AAACAAAACTGAAAAGAAGTTGACCCATTGAATTGCAGTTTAAGGTCGTACTTGAGAACAGATGGCCCAATGCTCTTCCCATCTAGCGCCAGCATCCCCGTCGCCTCTTGTGCATTTTCAAATTCAACGATCGCAAACCTGAGCAAACAAATTCGACCTTTACTCAGCAGAAATTTGACAAGCTGATTAAAGAAAGGTCTTCCACGGGAAGCACTAATAAGCAATCTCGTAAGAAAAGGCTGCGGATGCTGTTTGAATATGAAATCGGGTGTGAGGGTGCAAGAATTGAAATAAGAGCTCGAGTTTGTGTCAGGGATTACTTTGGTTTCTTGCGGTCCGTTGAAAGCCTAATGGAGACGACTTTAGCAAGGTCAGCCAGCAGCATTTTGAGTTCATTTTCGTCGTACTGCACAATACAAAATCAGAAAATCCCGCAATGCATTGGCTTAGCCAGCTGCAGCTTAGAGGGTTACGGCTTGAGTGTGCGCCGTTCACGAAACCTGCACAGCTGAAAATTCAATACTTTCAGAAACCAGGCGACACGATAGAGAGTCAGACAAATTCAGTAAAGAAGGAAAAGAATAAGGGAGCTTTAGCTACGCCAAGGCAGAAATGAAATTAAAAAGCTAGACGAAGGGAAACAACTACGGGAAGCAACACATTGACAAGCAAAGTCAACTCGAGGCTGCAGCGGCCAGTGTGAAGCGCAGCTCCATTCCTTCACCTAATTTCAAAAGATTAGAGTTTAGTTTCATTTGAGGTGTCGCTCACTTCATCAGGAAATCCCTGCAGAAAGCAAGTCCTCTCTAACTGGTCAGCCTCGGGCTCCGCAACCAACACCCCCGAAACGAGAGACTGGGCGGGAGGAAGCCGGCCGTCCACCGCCGTCACTGCAACTCCAATTCCCAATTCACTTTTCTTACGAGCTGCCAGCTGCTTCGCCTGTGCTGCAGCTGCCTGAACTGCCTGAGACGTAAAGAGCACAGGGAGCGGGGAGGATTTTCGGAAACACATGAAGACAAGCAACAAAACAGGAGCAAGCATGAAAACGAGTGAAAACTCGCCACTAAGTGCCATTGAAAGCTCAGTGAACAGGCGTTTGCTGAGATAAATAGACTTCTGCAAAGACATTCTGTTCCTTCGCAGTGAAGAGCGAGGCAGCAAACTTTGAATAAGCGGGAACTGCTCATCTGCCCGGGAACAGAAGGGTAGATGTCCCAGAGTGGGCCAGGCAGCAGGCAAAAAGCAAAGCCACAGCAAAAATAAGCCAAAACGCATATACCTTGTGCAGCAGCAGCAGCAGCAGCAACTTCTGTGCAGCAGCAAGAGCAGCAGCAGAGGCTCACCTGCAGGTTCGCTAGGTGGTTTTGCATGGCGATCTCAACAGCAGTGACGGGAGCAGCCGCTCCCATAGCGACAGGCAGCAGCGAGGCAGCAGCTCCGGGGAGTGCAGCAGCAGCAGCAGCAGCGAGAGCAGGATTTGCCGCTGCGAGCCCCAAGGCCGCCGGGGCCCCCAGCAAGGGGTTGGGAGCTCCCGCCACTCCTGCAGCAGCAGCAGCAGCAGCCGCCGCTGCTGCTGCTGCCATCCCCCCTATCGGCTGCACGGGAGGAGGAATCACGACGGGAGCAGCAGCAACAGGGGGCGCGGGCAAGGGCGTCGCAAGCCGCATGAGGTTCTCTGCAGGCCCGGGCGGCCCCGGAGCCCCTGCAGCTGCTGGGCCCACAGGGTTGAGCACAGAAACCTGCATGGGCAGGCCAAGAAGCTCCGTGCCGTTTAGCTGGGAAGCTGCAGTGACTCCAGCGCTGTCTGCAAACTCCAATTCGCAGTACCGACCGGAGGCCCCCGGCAGCGCCTTAAACTCCACGCGCAGCAGCTCCGAACAGTGCGAAAAAATTGCCTTCAAATGTTCCTCTGTAACCAGGGGGGACAGATTGCGCACGTACAAGACGTTGCGGGGGCCGTAGACACGGCCCAGGGGGCCTGCAGGGGCCCCCCAGGGGGCCGGAGCAGCAACAGGGGCCGAAGGGGCCCCCGGCGTTGAAAGCATCGGAAAAGTGAAGGGTGCAAAGACAACAAGTGCGGAAGGGAAGACCTACACAATGCATGCAGGAAGGGACTAACGACAGCCTTTTCCCTAAGGAAAGAGGGGGGTAGCCTTAAATGGGGGCCCCTGCAGAGTGGACAAACGGGGAAAGAACCTCAGCGGCACCAAACGAGAAAAACACAAATTTCACTACAGGTTAAGGAAACCCTCGGCGTCTAGGCTCGGGGTTTGGACAGGTTGGGAAGGACAGAGAAGGACAGAGACCGCGGGGGTGGAGCTGCCCCCGCCGCGAAGAGAGGTGCTGGGTTGAAACAATCCACCTTTTGTTTTTTACGCCTCGCTTCAATTAATTTAGTGATAAACGGACAGAAAGAACAGATCTGACGCGGCCCTCACAAGACTTCTCCACCTTCGCGCATGTCCAGTGACACTCCCGCAGCCCCGCAGCCCAGCCCTTCTGGAGTGCGGGGAAGCAATAAAGAAAGCAATTCGCCACATTTTTGCTTGGAATATAATAATTTTTGATTTTTGCACTCGCAGTATGCTTTATTTAGGCTATGTGGATTAATAAGGGGAGTGCCGGCGCCGCGCCAAGTCCCCACAAAACGCACAGACACGGCCGTTAACATCTCTAGTCAAAACGCTCAGTGAACAGACCAGAAGTATGCGGCTTCGTTTGCATGCATTATTCACATTTTCATGCAACTACCTGTTTAACGCGTTGTACAATTGTTATGATTACGGGCGCGCAACTAAGATGCATTACTTTGCAAATCCCCCCAAAAGCTGGTGCTGCAATATGTACGGAATGTAAAGTTCGAAGGAGCATTTGGGCGCCAGCTAGTGTTCATTATATCTCTATTCATGCGAGCTTTGCAACTAGGTCTGCTTGAAGACCTGAAGTACATTCGGCTGCAGGTGGCAAGTAGCCGAGTGAGTGAGCTATAGGAATGCCTCTAAAAGTTGAGAACGAACTCTACTTAACTGCAGTTCTCGGATTTTTTTCAAGTAGTTACACAAACCCTTCAACAAGACTCATAGCCTGAAGCAGCTCAGCCGCTACTTTGGGCCCATGCGCTCCAATCTGAACCGACGATCAGCTCGTTGCGATAGCTTTGTTACAGTTCGAACCCCCAATGGCAACTCCCTTTTCAGTCATGTTGAACCATTTTTTCTTTTTTGTAGAAATGCTAACTTCACTTTGGATCCCTGCATCCTGGCTGCTGAAAGCTCGCCTGTATCGGCGCGCAGGTCGCTCCCTACCCACTTTGCGCCTTTTCGATTATTGACACCTTGCCAGTCGTTTTAAGGATCATCGACGTCCACTGGAGTGCTTGTGGCTCTCCCTGACTCGCTCTATTTTATGCGAAGTTTGGTGTTTGCTTCTGTGGACTTATTTTCTGCGAAAACATCAATCATAGGAAAGATATGTGCGAAATAAACTGCTGCTTCTTCAACCAAAATGACGACTTGAGTGACAAAAGACTAGCATATCCCAGCAGCTCATCATTAATTGTGCGCGAAGGCTAGTGGCATCCTGTGAATTGCGCTGGAAAAAAAAACAAAGAGCCATAGGTTCGAAAGACGCCATGCTTTTCGTTGGAATACATTAGGTTTGGGTGAGAGGAGAAGCTACAAGTGAACCACACAAGCTGGTTTGCATCTCGAAAGATTGCGAGTTCCAGAAGAATTGCCAAAGTTCCTTCATTAATAAAGGCAGCAGATGCTGTTGCCTGCAATTCCTTCAAGTTTCACCATGGAGTGTTGCGAACAATCGCTGCAAACTACGCGTCGACAATCTACAGGTGCAAAACAAGTAACGCATTTCAGCGAGGCTACTTGCATTACTTTTGATTTCAAAAGGTTTGCTTTTGTAGGCCCCACCTCTATGGAGCGAAGCTACGTACGAAAAAATTGCAACAACATAACTGACTGAAACGGCTCACACGGGGTGCCGGCTATTTCTGCAATCGTTCGTGCATCATCAGCCGACTAAATCATAAGCTAAGATGTTAGAGCTGCTCTAGTAGGGCACAGAAGGGGTGCTGCCTAAATGGGTGGAGGAGTTTCGATGCCAGAGTTGGCAACTACACGGTCGCGCAGCTGTGCAGTATCAAGCGCTTTCCTTCCAATTTATTTAAAGGCTCAGTTCGTCAGTTTCCCGGAGTGGCTTCCAAAAGAAAAAGCCTTAACTAAAACAAAAAGCAGTGTATTACATTCAAGAGGATAATGCAGAGTCGCAAGCGATTCTTCCAAGTATACCATGAGGCACCGTAACTATAAACAAGAAAAACAATAGCTCTGTTACTGTCTAAGAAGGCCCTGAATGAAGAGTGCAGCAAAAACATAACATGTAGCCGAAACTGTGTCACAGCGTCGCCGTGCCTCCTGGAATACGCAGCGAGAAACAACTTAATGAAATCAATCCACCTATGCTCAGTTACGATGCTGGGTGGCCCTGCATCTCTGTACTGAAGCGTCACTTCACCTCAATATCCTGTGTGCAGCGTATGCATCGTTCTGAAGATCCCATAACAAACGTTTTGCCTTCGCTGTGGCTGCAGGATAAGTCCCAAAAGCTTCTCAGAAGTGATGCTATTGCTTTGTGGAAGGAAACAAATGGGTGCTGCTGGCATGGACCCAAGTAGATGCCTTACTTGATTTGGCTCACGTCAGGCGCAGCCGCACAAAACTCTCCAAGCGCCCTTTGCTTTGCGAAGGAAAAAATAAAACATTCAGTCCTCTGTGGGTAAACTTTAATATGCTGAAGTGGTAGTCGTTAGCGAGGACTGAACCTCGTCGCTTCCTTGTTCACGGACGGGAAAGAAGCTTGAATACCGATAATGCTGGCCCCTCCATCCGACTGCATTCGACTGCACGGAGCTACGTCTTCTAAGTCGCGCTTCAAATGTTTGAGGCAACAGTAAATGAATTCATTAAAGAAGATCCAACAGCTTAGGGCGAACGCTTCAGCGCTTCAAGCTCCTGACCCATCCTGTGCTCAGCGATGACGCGGTGCATTGAAGTCACAGCAGAGCACAAATTGACCAAACCTTTTGACACTTCTACTAGTGTGGTCGCTTCTGCGACAGCCTTATATGCTTTGTCGTATTCCTTTCCGCTGATTGTCATCTGCTCCGTAGCAGTGAGACTGCGGAATTCGCAAAGCCTTGCGTAATCACTTGATGCTTGCAGCAGGCCTATCTCCTCCTCAAACAACCCCAATATCGTGCTCTGAAGCAGGAATAGACGTGCCTTTCCCTTAGCAGTCGCCAGCTTTATCAGAGTTTCTGCGTGAAACCTAAGGTTATCCAAAGCAGCTTTGGGATCATCCTCATATTGGGAATTTCGAAATGAAATTTGAAAATGGGTCATTTCAATCTCAACCTCGCTTTTGACCTGCTGTATTTTCGATATCAGTTGCTCATACACTTCCATGTTAAGCTCGTGTGTGCGGCTCACTAGGAGGTTGTGGCTACCGTCAAAGCACCTCTCGACCTTCCATCTTGCATTTTCTAGGAGATTTTGCACTTTCTCGCTCTCTAAGATGCAGGCAAGTTGGATCCTCTCGGCTTCCTTTGCAACGGGACCTTTACTAAAGCTTTCTTGGCCATCTAGAATATCCTTTGTCTGTTCCTTCAGAGCGCCTATCAGTGCTTCGACCGTTTCGGCATGATCCTGAGCTTTACTGACAATCTGAGATGTATCTATCCACGAGTTGGTCTCCTCATGGGCATACTCGCGCAGCACCGTGATGGCGCTATCAAGCTCTGCAATTTTCTCTTTCGCGGACTTGATTCGATTTGCTTCTTCGGGCGGGACGTGCCATTTCAATTTAGATGCGATTAGAGCCAATTTCACGGGGACCCGTAGTTGCATCATTTCGATTTCTGAGGCCAGCAGCAAATCCTCAAGCTTCTTTGAATCTTTAACCTTGAGGTACTCACTAATACAGTGTTTTATGCTTGTAGCAAGGTAGATGAGGGCACTCTGTGACTTGATGTTGTGGCTGAGGTACTGGAGGTCCTCTGCAGTCTGCGTCACCAACGTGATATCTCTTTCATCACCGAATGGCCTGCTGTTCAGCAAGGCTTGGCTGACATTGCCAAAACACTCGAGCAGACCACAAGACATTTTCTCAATTGACTCGAAAGCGATCACCATGTGGTGCACTGGAGATGTAGGATCGTGCTTTTCCCTTTCAAAAGGCGACAGATCTATCCCCGCCTGGGGCTCCCACAACTCAGGAAAATCATCCGCCTCTGCCTCTTCATCCATCAAGAGCTTTCCCCGCTGCACGGCAAGGCTGTGCAGGCGGCGGAGATGCTTCAGTGACGCCTGAAGATGGTCCCCCACGACATTTGCAAAACGTGGCTCGACGCCCAGCGAGTTGGCTTCGCGCACTTGTTCTTGCACGCTATCTAGAAGCTCCTGGGCCTCCACTGAGTCTAGCTGTTCAGCAACAGTTTCTGCTACTAGGAGAATTTCTTGCGCTTTCTCGAGGTTTTCCTCCATCGAAGGCTGCTTTGCTGCTGCATGTTGCACAGGCGGTGGCTGTGCACTTTCGGGCACTTCGGCAACTTCGCCGGGTTTCTCTTTTTCATAAGATGCTTCCTGCTTTTTGACTTGCTTTTCCTCCGCACTTTTCCCCTCTGGTACACAGTGGGGCTCTAGGGGAGGGTGGAAAGGCTCGAGCTCTCCTTCCAGCGCATTCTTTCCTGTCTTTGCAGTAAACAACACTGTGCCACTAACCACGCCACTCACCATCAACAGTAGCAGCATGAGGCCCACACCTGTTTTGGACTTGGACTTAGCCGGCGCCTCCAGGGCTTGCTGCTGCACGGAAACTACTTCGACGGCTTCATACTCGGACACTTCGTCACCGGGCTGTGGCCCGCCATTCTCTGCCAGGGACTCAAATGTCTGTAGGTCTTCCTCTCGAAAAGGATTGGTCCATGGGATCATCCTTTTGTACTTTGCACAAGTTGGGGAAGAGCACAGTCATTCGAGCGTTCCCACGGGCAACAGCTCACGCCCAGTCTGACGCAGACCACGGCGAAAGCTCCTCACTCACAGAATCGAAAATCCACAATTCGACACGAAAAATATATACCCCTTTTAGAGTTTGTACGAATCGGGTCTTGAAAACTATGGAAAAGAGGAAATGAAATGCAACAGAGACCCCAAGGCCGTAATAAAGACAGTGGGAGAAACGGCAGTGCCTCCGTGAAATGGGAGTGGCAAAAAACCACGAAACATAACTCAGAGCATTCGAGTTGTATCAAGCAAAAAGACAGAGGCCAATTTTATCGTTTTGAATAAAAAGCTTTTCCGCTGCACCACCCGGCGCTGTCGATCCTAGTCACTTCACCAGCGCTGGAAGGCCCAGATGGCATCCCGCAGGAAAAGGTAAGGCGTCTTGAAGGGCTGCAACGATCTTCTGTAGGATGCTTATTAGCAAATTCAGAAAACAGAGGCTCAGGCCCCGAAATATAACTTCGCTGGTGGGCCAACTACAACAATTTCGTGGCGTCCCCTCGCTACCGAATGTTTACGCAGGGCACGCCCACGCGTTGTCTACCTTTTGATCCGAGAATTTTCTTTGCAGTAGGATAAATATAATGAAGCTTTGCAGAAAAATCTGGAGTCGGGTTTGTTTCTGCAGAACAGGGCGGTCCCTTTAGGCGACGACCGCGCTGTTTCTCCAGAGTACCTTTGTAAGGTTCGCTACCTGGGATGACCTAAACCTCCACCTATGTGCTCCAATTCCATGAAATAATTATGTGTTTTCAAACAACATATACCACACTCCAGTTTCCGCCCTTGAGGTGGCTCTCGCTCTAGCGCCAGGACCCGCCGGAGTTCGAACACGTTGGGCTGCAGCACGGGCATAATTCAAGAACTGCTAGAACATGTTTCTCTAAAAAATGTGAGCAAAAAACAATTAAATAAATAAATAGTTAAGGTCCTTTTGGCCGTAACTAGGCTTATTTAGTGTTGAGTGGCGGAACAGGGCCTGCGGGGCAGAAAATTTGATATTCACTTTCGCGTGGAGGTCAGCAACAAGCCCACCCGCTCAAACCAATACGCAAACCAGTGCAGCCCTCCTCAAGAGCTTCTAGAGTGAAGTGTATCAACTAAAGAAGCGCGAAATTTGTGTCTAAAACTGCAAGGGGATAGGGTTGTACGTACACGCAGGATTCGGATAGCTGGACCCGACACTGTAACGAAAAACAGGCGATATTTGGGGCTTAAGAGTCGCTTGCATATGTTTTCTGGTGCTGTTTAAGCAGTCTCGTTGGTTTATAAGGCACTGCGTAGCCCGCCCCATTCAGCACACTGTGGGGAATAACAACTTGTTTTCCGTGGCCAGGGGCGGGACCCTCATTGCGATTCCCTTTGCCGGCCTATCTTGGAGCAAAAAGCCCTTAATACTTACACAAAACGCGAACCAACCCCTTTGAAGAGCGTATTGAGGTTACAGTGGTGTTAGGGCACTGGACTGATCCCTTGAGTCCCTCTGGCACCGCCTCGTCGAGACCGTGGCCGCGCTTTCTCATGTCCCGCAACAGGTCACCGTCGCCAAGGCTTCCTTTTAAAAGACTAATTTCCCTAGAGTTTTCATTACTTCCTGGTGTAATGGCTCATGGAGGGGCTGGAAAGCCTTTAATTGTTTCTCTTCAGCCACGCTGGATGTGGCTAATATGTGAACAGGGGATAGCAGCAGGAATAGCACAGAGGTGCAGAGTTCAAGAAGGGAATTTGGCTGTTCCACTGCAAACCCTAGCATCTGAACACTATATATTAAGACGGAAACATAAAAGGCACATTCCATTACCATTATTGCGCAATTTCCGTGATGGGATCGAGGCTCACGGGGCCGACCCCTTAGTGCAGGCGTTGTTCAAAGGGGAGGATCCACGCAGCAGCTGGTGTTTGGTCTATCGGATATTGAACCAGTCATGAATTTGCTTAGCTGCCTTACTTGGTGAGAGCATTCAACAAAAATAAGTGTGTCTTTGACCGCTGACTGAGCCTTTCGACGTCGACTGTGGCTCGCTCGGTCAGAGCCATGCCATAGCATGTTCTAGACGCCGCCTGTAGCCCTTCCTAGTCACTGCAGCGTCTTGTCCGCCTGCCAGCGCATATTGGAACAGTTTCAGTACCAAAAGCCTCCCGCTAGCCTGCAGCTGCAGCAGGCCTGTAGGGAGTTTATCCTTATGGGTCATCCGTTACGTTACAGTGCCGCAGCTGAGCGCCGGTGTGACCTACGACGGCTTTAAATAACAATCGAGCAGATTCACATAGCATAAGCATTTCGGGCCCACTAGGCAAGCAGCAGCAGCAAGCGAAGCATTTCTTAAGTGAAACTTCGTCGCTTTTGGTGAAGAGTTGGCGGCAACTTCAACGCAGTCCTGGTATCCAAGAGTTTGTGCCAAGCAAAAAGCAAGCAGCAACTTCGCCAGGTTTCTAGGTTCATTAGCATTCCACTGCAGAACTCCGCTGCGCAGATATTTGCTCGAATTATGATGCATGCAAGCCTTCCTTGTTGTTGAGTTGAATGCTGGTGGTGGCTCTGCTGAAGTTCTTGGTACTGTTGGCTGTGCTGAAAAGTGGCAAAGTATCTAACAGCGCAAGCTGCATTGGCAGAAGCCTTGTCAGCGAATTGTTGCACAGTGCCCTGCTTTCAGCATAAAATGAAGTTTGGTATTCTGCCTCTTTCCATTTCCCGTTGGCAGGGGCATCTTATCATGGAAATGCTTCTGCGGAATGCGCTGATTTGCATTTAATCACGCAGGCTCACTACGGCCATCATTATGTCACTCTGCGAAAGTATAAGGTTGAGCGCGTTTGCCAAACGTGCGTTCACCGAAACAGTTTCAAAAGCCACCAAAAGAATTCATGCAACACTGCACCCTCGTGTAGGCAGGCCAAATAGTTTAGCTAAGGCTAGTAAGAGATTGTACAACATGCTTCTTATCTAACACAGAGACTCTACTCCAAATTCGAATAGGAACCATTGCGTTCCGTTTTTCCTCAAAGTAATACTGTACACTCAAGTGACATAGCACTGCTTGGACTACGTTCGAGGCTTTCACCTGAAGGAAACCAAAAGTAGCGAAGTTAGATGTGCTCGTTTTCTTGAGGGGTAGTCTTGAATACGTAAACCCCAAGGAAGACTTTTTCTTCCAGGCAGAAGCAACTAGAGAATTGCATTTCTGCCTTTGTGCAGCAGAGACTCCATGGCCCTTGCTTTGCAGAGAAGCAACGATTTCGTGTGCTTGAGCAGCATGGAAAGGCTGGAAACGAGCATCGTACTTTTACTTTCACGGAAGGCAAATGAGGAGCAAATACCCACCCAGCACAAGTGGTCGGTATTTGCCGAGCTACGGGTTTCTGTAGTACCGTGACCCTCAACTAAGGACCTATATAATTCATTTTCAACGTGATCTCTGCAACCCATGCCTTTTCGATGCACCTTGTTCTAAAAAATCACGTATAGCATTATTGTCACCGAAAACATATCGTACAGGAAAAACAAATTGAATGCCATGAATAGACCGCAGCCATAGCCGAATTATACGGATACCATTCAGCTCGAGCACAATGAAGTGGAACATCGGAGAACAAAGGTTTTATTCAGGCCAAGAGCAGCGCACAAGCGGCTGCTAGGCCAATAGGACATGCAAATATAATGAAACTACAAGAAAGCCTGAAGTTAGTTTCCAATTACGTGAAAGAGGACATCCCAGGGCTTCACTTGTGAACAGCAGAATGAAATCCCAGCTTGATCTGCAGACTCAAGCTTGTCCGCAACAAAGCTTCTCTAGGCAATTCTTTTGGCCATATTGTGCATGTTGAATGCCTCCTTCACAAGACCTTTGAAAATTGGATAGCTGTCCCCTTTAGGGAAGTAGGCAGCTGCCAGCTTCATGTGATTTGCGTTGGCAAGCTCACTTTTTTTGGCAGACCCGGATGCAGCCGTAGGAATTACAGATTTATCTCAAGGAAGGAGAATAGAACACGGTAAGCCTTCACACGTGGATCTCGTTCTCGTGTGCAAAGGCGCCATCGTGAATGAATCAGAAGATGTTTTACCCTTTTGAGAAGACAGTGCCATACCGCTTATGCGATTGCCGACAAAAATAGAGGCACGAACGCCGTTCTGAAGTATGCACTTCTCTCTCGCATTGCAGTTCACCGTTTCAGCAAGATGCGCCAAGAAGCAGCCGCTGTTTTCAAGGTTTCATCCGCTCAGAACAAAATGCCATGATTATCACTAATCTGCAAACCCATGCTCTGGGCGGTGATGGTTCTGTACAATGCAATCATCGCCATTCGCATTTTGACCATCCCTCTCGTTACTCCTGCTATTGTCTTCGCCTCAACTGCAGCGGTGTTTGCATTCTCGAAGTCTGCATCGTAGAATTCCATGAGCTCTGCAACACGAGATTGATTAGGGAATTCGCGTACTCTGGCATAGTTGCTCGCTTTTTGGAGTAAGTCCATATCCTCCTCCAACAAGTCCAATAACTTGCTATCGAGCACAAGCAAACGGGCCTCTGCTTTTGCGTTCACTAACTGTGCCAGAACTTTTGCCTGTGTTTTCAGAGCATCCAGAGCAGCTGTTGAGTCTTTTGCTCCCTGGGACTGATGGAAAGCAGCCCAAGACTGGCTCACGATTGTTCCCACTTTGCTTTTGATTGACCGCATTTGGCTTAGCACCTCGTCGAAAACTTCCGCTTGGAGCACGTGAAACATTTCTGTCAAGGACTGGTTGCCGACGTACACGCCTCTCGCGGCCCTGCATCTTACGCTTTCCAGGAAACGGCTCGCTGCATCACTCTCGATAATGCATGCGTCATGAATGTGTTTGGCCATGCCTATAAGCGTATCTTTGCTAAGGCTTTCGGGGTCACCTGAGAGCCCGTCTACAGCGTCAGCTACAGCTTTTAGGTCGTCCACAAGTGCGCGGGCCTTTTCGGCCATTTCTTGAGCAGCCTGATAAGCATTCAAAGCTTCCGCGTGCGATTTGGTCTCAACCAGATCGACCTGTTCGCGCAGTGCAATTATCAAGTCATGCGCCATCTCAACTTTCGTTTCTGCGGATCGCAGTGACGATTCCGTTTCGAGTGAAATCTCATCTCCCGCGTTATATTTGTTTTTAGCCATTTCCAGGAGTATCTGGGTGTTTGTGAAGTCTTCCTGAAGTGGCAATAGTCGGTCTTCGAGCTCTTTCAACCCCTTTGCCCTGAGACCCTCATATATGCAATCTTTCAGCTTTCCAGCAAGTGCGCAAAACTTCCTCTCCGACTCTATGAAGGTGTCCATGAAATAGATGTTTTCTGTGTTTTCTGTCAGCAACTCGGCGTCGTCTTCACCTTCAAATCGCTTCCTGCTCAGGAACGCCTCCTTCGTCTGTTCGAAGTACTGGCGCATCTCCACAGAAGCAGAACTCATGGAGTTGAACATGATCAACAGCCGGTGAAGCGTGTCTTCATGATCAAGCATACCGGTAGGGGAGATGTGCTGGCCAATATCAGATCTGGCGTCCCACACAGTGGGGAACTGTGGCAGTTTCGCAGCTGCAGCCGCGAGGGATTCCCCTCTTCCCAAGGCCATGAGATCCAAGGAGCGCAGCTGCTTCAAAGCCTCCTGCAAGCGCTTTTCAACGCTGTCTTCTCTTCCTGGTTTTTTGCTGAGTTCCTCTGCCTTCTTGACTTGCTTCTCCACGGCGTCTGCAACTTTCTCGGCCTTTTGTGTCTGAATTGCGCAAGCCAGGCCTTCGGCAGCTGAAGAGAGTTCCAGCATCTTCTTCAGCTTCGCCTGGATTAGAGCCCTTTCTTCAGCCGTGACTACTGGCTTCGGGGCCTTCGCTTTTTGTGCAGCTTTCGCACTTTCTTCTCGAGACCGCTCTCCAGGTTTTCTCCCCACCTGCGCGCCCGGCCGCTCCTCCCTTCTCTTCGCCTCTGCTACACGTTGCAGCTCTCCCGGGGGGTGCAGCGGCTGCGCTATTTTTCCTAACAAACCCTTTTCTCGCGCTGCAGGAAGCACTGCTGCGCCAGCAAGCGCGCCCATCACCACCAGCAGCAGCACCGCAAGGCCCGCACCCACTTTGGACCCGGTTTTACGTGGAGGTGGAGCAGTTTGCAGCTGCGAAGACTCGGCGGTGAGAGTTGCTTCCTTTTCTTCTTCGGTGCTTAACGGCGGTCCTCCATCATCCGTATTGTTTTCGAATGACTGGAGGTCATCTTCGGGAAGAGAACTCGTCCATGGAATCATCTTTTCTGCGCTTTTCACGAATGTGCTCAGGGCACATGCATTCGAGCTGTATTCGCGGGCACAAATTCAGGGTTTATGGCGCACGAAGAGTGTGCCGGGGCCCCTGGGGTGCCTGGCAAGCAAGCGGTATCGCAACCGCTCGGTGAAACGGGAGCGAAGAAATGCAGCTAAGCGAAACTTGCCTCCTTAGAAAACCATAAGAGACGAATAAAGGGTACCTTTTCGCGTTTTTGCAACTAAAAACCGTCTACAGCGCACCAAACAGTCATATTTTAGCATGGGGACGATTTGTGTGGCGCCCGCCAGAAGACCCGTGGTCGCAAAGCCTCCGGGTAGTTATTGACCCACAGAGAATGTACAAATAAAGCTTTCTCTTCAAATCGCAAAATTGGAAATTCGGGGGAAGAAGCAGTGATGGTCCTGGACACTGTGTGATTTTCGTGCCGTTTTGCCAGTCTGTGAGGCTTGTCTGGGGCCTTCACGTGATCTCTTTAATTTCGAACATGACGTTGCAGGCTTACACAATAAATCCAATTTGGCGAAAGTTTGAAAACTAGAAGAAGGATGTACTCTGCTAGAAGTACATAATTTTTTATTTGGTTTCACCCCAAATTTTTGTATCGATGCAGCATTCTTCTACATATACGCTACCCCAGTGCACCACCCCGCAGTATGAGGGTCTTGGCATCGAGTATTGGCCACACAGAAGCTAGTGTGGCATCCTGGGATGAGTTTACCTGCTAATTTTCCAAGTACTTTCAACCGGAGACCTCAGGGAAAGGGAATAGGATGTCAACTTTTCAAAATAAGTACAACCGCGAACTAGATTGAGCGACGCCAGCTCAGTACCGTAGCACTCTAGAGAATGCAGCTGTTCTGTGCAGCTTGACCGTCCCAGAGGTACTAAAAGTCATTAAACTACACGTGCAGCTAGTGTGGAGTGTACCATATAGACCATTTATAGCTAGATTTTAAGGGTGGTAGCCGTCATCAACGGGCAATGAATTTCACGGCGTGTGTAACCAGATGGGCAGTATCTAAGAACCCAAGTACATTCTTGCCGTAACAGAGCCCAAAAGGACTCTACATAAATTGTTCTTTTACCGTGTCCAGTGCGCTTCCCCAGGTTGGAAACAGAAACCTCGAAGGCGGGACCTCAAGCGAGCGCCCAAGGACAACTGTGTTGGATAACGCGAGAGCCAGGGTCTTGCAGAAATACCAATACTCATAAAATGCCCACCTACATGCAGTATTCCTACTGGATTGCAATACTTATGTCGGGGTCTATCGTAGGGCTCATGGCAATATCTGTAAAAGGGCCTTTTCTATATCCCCACAGGAGATTGGGCGGCAAACTAAGTTCGTCATTTGTCATATTTCCAGCTGTGCAGACATGTGCGTAAAATCTCTAGGAGTTTAGCTCGACCTAATTAGGTCTAAAAATTGTTTGTCGTTCCGATAAAACCAAGCAAAGCAGCTGGCTCCTAATAGGCTGCTGCTTCTGCTCAACTCCAGTTAGTCGTGCACTCTTGCTACAGCAACTTCTAGAAAGCATTGCTCATCATTCATTCCGGAGATGAATGCTGCTGGCGATGCTGCTATAATCATAATGTTGCCACTTTTGCTGCAGCTGACACTACGCACGGGCCGAAAGTGTAGAAACTACAGCCCCGTCATTGGCGGGTTTGATCCAAATACACCTTTCCTCACATGCTGCTATTGTCTCAGCCTCATTAGGAATCTCGCCCAGTAAAGCTGCGGTTGTATTATTATTTATTAAACAAGCCATCACAATTATCACAAGTAAGCAACACCGCACAAGAACAGCCACAAAGGCAGGTTCAGCATCCATTCGCGCAGAACCCGTTGCCTGGAATTCACAAATTTGCTGCGGGTCTTCATATCTGAACAAGCGCGCCGGGAAATGATGCTAAGAATATCATCATGAATTTTTTGTCCTCCACAGCATTTCTTTTCCCTTTGTGTCTGGAAAAGTTCTTCAGTTGAACGCGGCGTCATCTTCTTGAACAGCAGAAGGCTTGTCTTATGCTTACTAGGATCCACCTGCCTCCAGCACGCACTCTTCGCTGCTCCCCGTGAGCTCGAAGTCCGCATGCAATATGGCATAAGGAAAGAAAAAGTGAATGTGGAAATGGCTGTGCCCATGCGCCGTAAAAGTCGAATATTTATCCGTTGTGGAGGACGGGCTTATCTATCAGGGCGCACCGAGGTAAGGCGGCCAATGACCGCCTCTGCAGATAGTGCATGCGATTGGCTTGGAGTAAAGGACCCAAAAATGCGAATTAGCTAGGCTTAATTGGCAGATGAAGTGGTGCAGGCGGGTCTCGGAACAGATAGTGCATTACGCTTCTTAGCTAAAGAAAGCCTGTTTTTGCAGGTGTAAGATCAAGTTGTTCCCTTCACCTTTAGAGAGCAAATTTGTCGGCTGCAGCAGCATTTTGCAAATTGAAAAATCATATACCTTTCTCTCCTTTGATGTCACAAATTAAAACTTGGCCGCAGAATCGAAAAACCTAGAACAGGCCTTCTGTCAAAGGCACATTGTGTATGTGTCCGAAATATTTGTATTTGAGCTTACAGCAACACTTTTGGTAACCGAAAGATAAAAACGTGTTAAAAACAAAAAGTTTATCAGGCCAAATCCGCCGACGCCTCATAGCAGCCGTAGCAGCGGGAAGCAAGAAAATCCAGCTCTGTCACACAAAGCTCCGTGCGTCGATGGTAAACAAAGCGGCCAAATCGAGCAACATTGTTGAAACCTTCCCAATTTGATCTTGAGCCTCGTTACTGTGGCGCCACTGGCCGTTACTATGTTGCTGTGGCTGCACGACACGAGGCAGGATCATCAGGATATACCCACTGATTGCACCGATGATGTTTGCATTCTGCATCAGCTATGAAATTGTAAGCTCCAAAGCTTTTCATGGGCGTCGCCATGGTAAATATTATTTTTCCTGTGCAGCTCGGGCACGACCCCGGAAAAATTGAGAAGACAGAATAAATAACCTTGTTCTCCCTGGCAAATTGATCGGTTGGTACTTTGTTGCAAGGCGGTACGATCCCTCTGGAAAGGCACCAAATTCCTCTCGAGATTCGTCAGTGAATCCGCACAGATTATTTACCTGCGCTTCTCCCAACAAAAAAAGTAGAAAACCGGGGCGCCTTTGCGTCGACGATGCAGCAGGGTCAGAAGATTCTGAACAACTGAACGTTGTTTCTTTCCCTGGGGACTAATCCAGGAAACAGCATTATGCCGTTTGTGTAATTGTCGGAGAAAATGGAGGCTTCAGAACCGACAAAAGAGCTGCACACAGTTGTCTTGTGCGCAGCGAATACAAAAGAATGCTGATTAGCCTCGCAGTTCCGAAACATAATCTGTCAATGAAGCAGTTCACCAGCGGGGCATAAACCACCTCAAAGTGGGCTCGGTGCTTCTTCGAAATCTTCACCAGTTTTGTGCGCGGCGACGGCGCTGTACATTGCAGTCACTGCAGACCGCAACCTGACCATGTTGTCTGACACTTCGACAAGTGTCTTTGCGTCCATGACGGACTTGTGGGCTTTGCTGTAGTCTTTGGCAACAGAACTCAGTAGTTTCATTGCAGCAAAAGTATTTGAAACTTTGCATAACCTCGCAATTAAACCCGCTGCTTGAAGCAGATCTATGTCCTTCCTAAGCAGCTCCAAAGACTTGATGTCAAGGAGAACTAGACGCGCCTCCTCCTTAACTTTGACCAGCTGGACTAAATATCTTGCCTGCGACTTCATAGCAGTCAAAGCAGCGTCTGGGTTTTCTGCTTCCTGAGACTCTATAAAGGCCATTCGGGATCGACTGACGCGAGTTCCAACTTCGCCTTTGAGCTGTCTTATGTTTGACAAGAGCCCCTCGAAGATTTCACTCCCTAGCTGGTGGAAGTGACCTGGAGAATAGTCTTCAGGATCTAGCCATTTCTGGGCCCTGAATCTTGCATCTTCCAAAATGCTGAGTATTACCTTGCCTTCCAAGATGCATAGATCATGAATGCGCTCAGTTTCCTCAACAAACATGAGCTTTCTGAGGCTGAAGAGGCTGCTCGGCAGCACGGGCAGCAGTGTCTTGGCTTGTTCGCGCAAGGCGTGCAGAAGTTCTCGGGCCTCTTGGGCTGTTTCCTGAGCTTTGTTGACAGCGTAAAACATATTTTCCCCCGAAGTAGTTTCAACTTGAGTGACCTGCTGGTGCAGAGTAGCCAGCAAGCCATTCACCTCTTTGGCTTTCTCCTCCACGAAACTAAGTTCAAAGGCCTCGACAAGGGAAGCTTTCACTTTCATTTCGTTCGCCTTTCGGGCAAGCTTCGCAGATAACTGTATTGGAGTGAAATCCCTCAGCAGCAGCAGCATCTCTTCTTCCAGCGACCTCAACTCCTTGGCCCTGATGCCCTCATGAATATCCGCTTTCAGTTTCCTCGCAAGCTCGTGGAAACCGTTTTTGGATTTGATGCTGCTGTTCAGAAAGTGCAAATCGTCCAGTTTGTCCTCCACCAATTGGGTGTCTTCTTCAGTGTTGAAATGCTTCTTGGCCAACAAAACCCGACTAACTTTCTCGAAACTTTCGCCCACTTTTTGAAATGCTTGCTGCATTGAGTTGAACATGATCACCATGCGGTGCACTGTGTCTACTGGGTCAAGGCCGCCGTCCTCAAAAGACGCAAAATCTGCTGCAGGCTCTGTGTCCCAGAGAGAGGGAAACTCCCCCGACTTTCCTTCTACCGAAATAAGGAATTCACAGTGCTTTCCTGCGAGGCGATCCAAATTGCGCAAGTTTTTTACTGCGTCTTGGAGGCATTCTTCTATGGCCTCCAGTTTTCCTGGCTCTTTGCTCAACGACTGCGCTTTCCCAAGCTGCTGCTCCACGTTGTCTGCCAGCTTCTCAGCTTCTTCTGTACCAATCACATACACGAAACTTTCTGCATATGCAAAAAGTTCCTGGATTTTCTCCAGCTTCAGCTGCATTAGAGCTTTCTCTGGTGCCAGTGCATCCTTTGCAGCAGCTTCTTCTCGAGCTCGATCGCTAGGTTTCCGCTGCTCCTCCTCTCTTGCTCCCACTGCATTGAGCGCCTGGCATGCTTCTCGACTCTCCACCGAAGGGTGCAGAGGCGGCTCGTTTTCTCCCAAGACATATTTCCCCGGCAGTGGACAAAAGATCGCCTTGCCAGCAAGCAATCCGCTAGCGAGCAGCAACAGCAGCACGACGCCTACACTCGTTTTGACTTTGGCCTTTTGAGATGCTTCAGCACTTTGGAGCTGCAGCTGAAGGTTATCAAGGGCTCCCGGCTCGACTGCTCCATTGTCTGTGTGGACGCTGTCACTGTAGGCTGCAGTGTCCAACGACTGTAGATCCTCATCAGGCAGTGACTTCGTCCATGTTGTCATCTTTATAGTACTTTCCTGGATTTTCTCCACCGGAGTTGCATCGGAGCGCCTTGACAGGACAGAACCTGGGAGCACCCCGTGTCCCGGCGATAACAGCACGACCCCGTTTCACAGCAAATGTGAACAGAAATCCAGCCTACTCATGCCGGCAGCCTTCTAGAGCTCATAGTTATGATTGGGCACATAACTTAAATCGCTTAGTAAGGAGATTCTGCGTTGCTGAGCTCAGCACTGCGGGATTGTAATCGCCCCGCGCACACCGTCCACACAACAGTTTCCAGATTCACAAAAAAGGACTCCGTAGACACATCGTTGCATAGACGGCTTCTGTATCAAAAATGTCCTTCTTTAAAAAACACAAAATGCAAAAAACAAAAGGCTAATCTGCACTTTTAGCACGCCAGTGGCAACTTGTTCAGCCCTTGCTCGATCATGTCTCAAACACAGAGCGGTGTCCAATGCACTATTGGCACATTTTGGCAAAAGCCAAGGGCCCATAATGTATTCTTCTGCTACTTAATGTTCTCTTTCTATCAAGAAACGCATGCTGCTTGAGCAAAAACGGACAGCAGAGTCTCTTTGAAGCATGAGAATGTCTTGTGTCCGTTGGACAACGCATTGTGGGTGTTGGACACTTTCATAATCTGTGTTACTCCTATATGATGAGATCATCCTTCTGATAATATTCCTGAAGAAGTTCACAGGAATATGCCAATTTTTAGCAACTCCTGTGTCTTGCGCTGAAGGCTCATGCTGTAGCGCCTCTGTAGCGCTTTGCTACACATGTCTTCCACTGATGATTTGGAAGTATGCCATTGAAACTGATGCATTTAATGTTTTTTGGGTGATTCTGGATTTTGTTTGTGGCTTTGCTCGCAACCGGCCCCGCCACACACAATAGAACCTTCAGTCCTTGAAGTTCTGCTTAACGGAGGAACCGCTTGGTGCCAACCTCGATAGCGTTTGTTAAGTGATTTTCCGAAAGCTGAGAAGCATTTAATAAACGGAACACCTAGAACTTATCCCAGATAAACTAAGTGCAGTGGCGTACACAGCATACCTGAAAGAGCAGCTGACCCATGGGACTGCAAGTTGATCGTGAGGACAGGAGCATGCTAAACTCAGGCACTACGCCTCTTATTGCCTCTTCGTGGAGAGGTAGCAGAGAGGAACAAGGCAAAGGCTAGGAATCAATGCCTCTATAGCGGTGGTGCAAGCTACAGTGGAGGTCAAAAATAGCCGTTAGGGGCAGCACAGGGCACACGGCAAGTCGCATCCATTGCACAAACTAGCCCAAAGCTGTCCTGAATGGCAGAGGTGGCGGCTACAGCCTGAGAGATGCGTCCCCAAGCGATCTGGGGCCAGCAACAACTCTCTTGCTCTCTGTGAGCCAAGGAGTAAGAAGATACTTGGCGAGCACTCTTATGCATCGTCCCCTTAAGGCTCCCGGTGCCTCTAAGCTTAAGTATTTGGACTTTAAAAATGCAAATACTACTTTGTTTGGCGTTGTAGAGTTTCAGCGAGCCGTTACTGCGGATACACGTAAAGAATGAAATGGTCTAGAGACACTGCAGCAGTTGGCCGGGTCTGATTCTTCCAAAGAATTACCTAATCAGTAGAGGAAGTAACTGAAGTGCTCTAACAAATATTTGGGAAGAGCCTAAAGCGCCATTACTCCGTAAAGCTCGTAAAGCTCCGGCCATTAGCCACATCCACTCACAATGCATCTGCTGTTCCCGAGAACAAAACTCCCTACAATACCGCTAGAACCTGTCGGTCCTTTGGCTTACACTTTCTCTTGACTCTATAGAAGGCTTCCCTAGCTAGGAGCCTGAAGCAAAGGCTTTGCAATGAACGGCGGGGTCGGGTCATTCCCAAGCTACTGATGCCTGCCCGCAGCTCGCTGTATACCGGACCTGGCTCCAGCAAGTTACAGGCCCCGAATACTAGCAGTTTAGCTCCTCAGTAGCATGAGTTATAAAGTCTTCTTTCCAAGACATCTTTGATATCGTATTCCAGTGTCTACAGAGTGTCAAGGGGTACTAACTCATGCTGCTGTGTAACCGGCATGCTCTTGTTTTAAGCGGGTCTCAAACTTCCAGAGTCTGCGTAGAGGTAACTTATTTGGTCGAACGCTTTTCTCCAGCAGAAGACTAGCCCCCGTGTTCTGCGGAAGCTCTACATGGACGTATACTTCTGCCGAGCTTTGGCTGCTGCGGGAAATTTGCCATAGTCCATCCGACTGAGTTTTAGCGTGCTTCAAGATCTTCTTCAACTCCACACCACATTATACAGGTAACGCACAGCGTAGCTATTCAAAAATTCGGACGAACTAGCTAGCAGAGAAAAAGTCTGCAGACTGCTTTTGCAGCGCATTTCAGGCGTAGTTTAATCAAGCCAGCAAATTACCAGAGGGCGCTGCGCTTCTGCTGGGTGGGCGGCGTGCATGCCAACTGAGTCTGGGCCTTCTCCGTATGTACATTTTTTGCTGCAATGCATTTTGACATATTGCACAGCCCATGGCAGTTTACGCCCAGCATAAAGGCTATAAAACAGCGTAGGGGCTGCCAAGCTGGCCCGGCATCCATTAGCTCGCAGGATATTCCAACGCCGCTTCAGACCCGCTCACGTAGAATTAGACCTGTTTATTTTCAAAGTCGCAAAGTCCTAAGTGGGGCGACGCCCTCAAAACAAATGCTAGGTCTGCGAATGTTTAAGGTGATGGAACTGCCTGCGTGGCTTGTCACTAGGGAGCGGCACGAGGTGTAGCAAGTGTTGCCTGTCCTCACTCTTCCATGGGTTTTCCTTTTCATTACGTAGGTACGTAGGGGCCCAATAAGGTCAAAGAAGCTCAAGTAGATCATTAGAAGCATGAGGTTTCAAGAGTGTTTCTATTAGGCATCTTCGACGTTTTCGTGTTCCTCTGCATGGATGTATGCCGCACACTGCAGCGGTAATTCGGCTAGCTGCAGCCCCTGGACCTCCAACTGAACATACAAGGCTAAGTCTGCGGCAGTAGCCAGCTTTCGGTAGCTACAGCCTCTCTAATAGTGCTTTATACGTAGGCTAATAAACTTGACAACCTTGTGGTGCTGTACTGGTCACACATTGTAGTGCTACGCACAAAATGAAAGCCTCTGTGCTTCCGGAGTCGTCGCAGTAGCCGCATGCTGGACAAAGGAGAAAAAAGCTTGCTTCAAGCTGGCAAAAAATGACGGAGCTTACAGTTGATGTGAGCTTGCCTATCTTTACCAAGCTTGTCTTTTTTCGGGTGAGTTAGCATCTCCTGCTCCCGAAGCCAGTCAGGCCTCCCAGTGTATGGCTCCCTACCAGTATCCCAATCTTGATCTTAAGCATTGAGGAAATCATCCCTGTGCCTGCATGCAGACAGCCAAATTTTATCGGTCTTCGTGGGATCTCTGTGCTCTTGTGTACATCTTCTCCGGGCCAGTCAGTCTACAGTCCCATGACCACTGGTGCCTGGTGCTTCGTGTCCAGCTCGCAACTGCTGTATTCTCCCCCTCAGTTAATAGCCCTAGACAGTACTATATGTGAGCACTGGTTCCGGCGACCTGTTGCATGCGTAGCCAAGTAGTAAAGCAACATTCTTTGGCCCAAGGGTGTTCGAGAATGTCTGAGTCTATATATGTACATAAACACATTCTGGGAGGAAAAGCCTTCGATCTGCATTTAGTTGATAATGGGGTAAGGTCCCACTGGCCAGGCCTTCTAGGCATGGCAGGAAAAAACGAAGCTAGCAACACATAACTAAAGCGACTTTATTAGAAGCTCAGAATGGGTCTTTTGGCCTGCTTTGGCAAACGGGATTTCGAAGAAATTTGAGAAGCCGTTAGCGCCTCTTCAGTCCAAAAAACAGGAAATGTTGAAATGTAGAATAACTCCATAGATCAGATTGCCGCCACAGCGAGCAGCCCGGTCACACTGGGTAGCCAAATGAAGCCAAAATGTGTTTCTCCATTTTCATTAAAGTCTTTTATATCTTTCCAGAGAGTCAACAGCTGAGCCCTGCATGCTCAGAGAAGCGGCGAAGCCTCCAAAGCATCTTCTTTCTTGACTTCCTTTTTTATTCTTCTCTTTATTTGTGCCACCTCAAAACCCCCATTTCGTGCCAATAACCCCGCCAGCGGCCACTCCGGTGCTCCTAGCAAGTTCTTTCTAGCTGCGCCTATGCTGCACTTCTTGGGGCCCGTGGCCTTCAGAATTTATAAATATGTTTTATTACTCAAATATATTACCTTTTGGCCGCACGCATGGCCAAAAGGTAATAAAGCGCAGCAAGCCCTACAGCTAGCTCTACTCAGCGTCCCCACTAAGGCGGCTGTGTAAGTGGGGGGGCCCCTATGGGCCCCTTTTGGCTGACAGCAGCAGCAGCAGCAGCAGCAGCAGCAG